ACTAATCACTCATTGTTGCTTTTGTAACGCTTGTTGGCGGCCTGTTCATCAATTCTTTGCTTTCTAGCCCTCTCCAGCGCTACCTCAAGTCCACCTCTTGGCCTCTTCTTTGATTTCCATGGGTCTTTTCGAGCCTTGAATCCCTTCACATTGGCATATTTGTCATTTGTAGCTGAAGCAGCAGCGCTTTGTGAGGGTGATGTACTGGTGGTTCCATCTGTTGAAAAAGCAATATGCAAGTTACTGGTGAACATAAGTAGGGATTAAGCAATTAGTGGATTGGATTAAGATGTTTATGGTTTGCATTAGATCATTAGTGGCTTGGATTAAGCAATTACTGGTGAATATAAGTAGGGATGCTAACAAGATGTGTGAAATTACCAGGTACTGTTTGCTGAGTTTCTTGAGTCTGAAGGCTTTGGAAAGCTAGTTTAGTGAGCTCTGCAATCTTTTCCTTAACCATTGAGAAGACCTTGTCATTCATTGAGACTTTTGTTGCTAGGATAACCATGCTAGCACACAGTTCTTGATACCTCCCTGCATAAGTATCTGTTGCAGCACATTCTGTTGTGTTTATTGTGAACTTCTCTCCAGATTTGGCATCTCTCGTCCATCGTGGCAGAATGTATTCCTTAGGGATAGTCAATTGCTCAATATCATCACCATTGAATCCAACCATCTCTATCTGCCTGATTACATGTCTGCACAACCAGCCTGAATGTTCAAACAAACGACATGAGCACTTGTATTTCTTCTCCTCTTTGTTCACTAACACGACTCTTTTGCAGAATCCTCCCAGTTTCTTCACTTCATAAGCTGTCATTCCATCTCTATCCATAGATTCATTCCGGAACACAAAAAAAGCAAGGCTTTCTGAATACTCCTCAAGGAAAGAACTGTAGATCTTAGTTGTGTATAATTTTGCGACTTGCTGAACAAGTGGGCTTCTGTCATACCTGTTGGAAGATGACATACAACATACAATCATTCATAAAACATCTTGTCTACATTAATGATTTTATGATATGTATTGTACTGTTTGTGGTGCGGATTGTGGGATTTATGGGTTATTTTAAGTCGTGTGTGGTGTGGATTGTGGTGTTTATGGGTTGTATTAGGTGGTCTATGGTATGGATTGTAGGGTTTTTGGGTTGGTTTAGGTGGTATCTGGGTTGTTTAAGCTTGTGCGGTGTGCATTGTGGTGTTTATGGTTTGGATTAGGTTGTCTGTGGTGTGGATTGTAGGGTTTTTGGGTTGGTTTAGGTGGTATCTGGGTTGTATTCAACTGTTCTGTGGATGCATTCTACAGTATAAAAAGTTCAAATAAAGGAAGTAATACGTACATGTTGTTTGGGACTGTGTTTGCCATTTGATAATCCATATCCATTTCGTCTGATCTTTTCCGTTCGAGCAACTTGTTGAAGTATGTGAAGAACTCAACTAGGTTGTCATCTGGTTGAAGGTAGTTTCGGAGGTTGCTGTTACAAGACTCACTCAGCTGTGAGTTTCGCATACCAGCTGTGAAGTGGTCCTTAATCCATGCTGAAGACCACTGTTTCCTCACCTTGTAAATTGAATCCAACCAGTACCTTGGATTGGTGCCTTCTTCTGGATAATATGTGTCTAGCAACCTTGACCAATTGTACTCAAATTCTTCTTCATTTTCTACTCCAAAAGTGACATATTTCAGATCTTCTAGAATGTTTGTGTTTGTGGTGTCGAGATGCTTCATTGCATTCTGCTTGATATGAAAAGTACACAAGCCATGGAATGCTTCAGGAATGACGGATCTAATCCCAGCGGCGATTGCAGCAGCTTGGTCGGTGAATATTGTCATATTGATGTTGGTCGGATGCGTGACATACATTTCAAGAATGCATCGAACAACCACTTGAATGTAGCGGTTGTTTCATCATATAGGAGAGCAGCCCCGAAGATGCAAAGTGCACGATGGTGGTTGAAGCCAACAAAAAAAGCTGTAATTTAAAAATAAAAAAAGAACAACATAGAATTAAACATTGAAACAAACAAAGACTGTCTTTTATGATATATATGGTGTGCTTCGGGACGTTTTTAGTATGGTTTAGGAGGTTTGTGGTATGCATTGCGTAATGTTTGGTATGCATTCAATTTCGAAATATCAAGAAAATTATCTAGTGCAAGGAATCCTTCTTAATGCAAACCACAAACCTTCTAATGCACACCACAAATCTTATAAAACAGACCACAAACCTCACAAAGCAAACCACAACATTTGCGGAAGCAGACCAGAAACCTATTAATGCAAACCACAAACCTCACAAAGAAAACCACAAACCTCACAAAGAAAACCATAAACCTCACAAAGCAAACCACAACATTTGCAAAATCACACCAGAAACCTCCTAATGCATTGTGTAATGTTTGGTATGCATTCAACTTCGAAATCTCAAGAAAATTAACTAGTGCAAGGAATACTGACCTAGTGGACGATAATTCTGGTTTGTCCTGTATGTGGTGTCGAAGCTGATCGTATCTCCGAAGCAACTGTAGTCAAACCGCATTCTTGCATCAGCCCAGAATATACTTGCAATATCTTCGTTACTATCTACCTCAATTTCATAGAAGAATGATGGATTCTTGTAAGCTTCATGGCGAAAATGTTCAAGAAGTATAGTTGCTTCGCCTGGTTTCATTGATTTCTGTCTTGTCCCTGTGATATAGTTCTTCAGATCATGAGGGGTAAAAGATACATTCACCCTCCCCCCTGAAGTTGTGGTGAACAACTCATATGATTTCCGTAGTGAAACTCCACAATCTGCAGGCACTTTTGCGACCATTGCATGCATTTCTGAGATCCCCTTGTTCGACCTCAAGAGATGTTTGAATTTTGGAGGGAGGAGATCATGGTTGTGTTCTGTTATCCACTTGTCAAGCAGCCATTCATCCTTCTCGATATCATATCTGAATTTGATTATAGCTGGGCAACCAACTCTAGTTTCTGGTACAGCACGTTGATAAGCCTTCACATCTATTGATCCTTTATTCTTGGGATTTGACTTGCTTGTGGTCTTGTATCCTTCTTTGCTGCAGCAATACCTAGCATATCGTGCTGTTTTGGTTGGCTGTCTTTTTGTAGAACGTTTGACAGCTCCCATGTCCCTCACGCTGAAGCCAAGATCGTGAGCATAGTTCTTGTAGAATTGTTTTGCTTCCTCAATGGTTTTGAATGCCAACCCCAAACTAGTGTAGTCTGACTCGGACCTGTTTGATGTCACACCTGTAAGCAATGATGAAAGAAATGAGCACTTGATCATTTCATCTTGCGATAATATTTACTAGAAAAGTGAAAAGTGGTTTGGGTTGTAGTTATTCATGATGCTTTTATGACATTTATGGTTTGCATTACAGTGTATGATTTTTTTTACAAACAGATTGCGGAATGTAACGATTAACGTTTTAATGGTGTGTATTGAAGGTGTTTTGGTGCGTTTAAGAAGTATTGTGGTTTGTTTTTAAAGTGTTTTGGTTGATTGTCTCTTTTTTTACTGTGGTTTGTTTTGGGAAGAATGTGGTGTGTTTGGCGATGCTTTTGGTATCGTTTGTGGGATTTTTGTGGGCGGTTTAATCATTTCATCTTGCAATGATATTTGCTAGAAAAGTGAAAAGTGGTTTGCATTGTAGTTATTCATGATTCTTTTATAACATTTATGGTTTGCATTACAATGTGCTTTTTTTACAAACAGATTGCGGAATGTAACGATTTAGGTTTTAATGGTGTGCATTGGAGGTGTTTTGGTGCGTTTAAGAAGTATTGTGGTTTGTTTTTAAAGTGTTTTGGTTGATTGTCTCTTTTTTTCCTGTGGTTTGTTTTGGGAAGAATGTGGTGTGTTTGGCGATGCTTTTGGTATCGTTTGTGGGATTTTTGTGGGCGGTTTGATTGGTAGTGCTTATGATATGGTAAATGGCTTGTATAAGCGTGATTGTGGTGCTCATTGTAAGAAAACAGGAAGGATTGAGTTGAGCGTACCTTCTTCTTGTTCATTGTTGCCACTGTTGGTGGAAATAGAGGTTTTCAGCTGATATCCAACTTCTGCTGCATTGTCAGAAGATGTTGCAATTTGCAGGAGTTGTTGAGCATCTACAGAACCAACAGAAACTTCATCTACACGATTCTCGTCCATCGTCAATGTCTTAGCTGCGATCAGGAGCTTGCTCCGCCGTCGCCGCCGTTGCTGTAGCTGCTGCGATCAGATCTCGTCGCCGCCGTTGCTGTAGCTGCTGCGATCAGGCTCTCGTCGCAGCCGTTGCGTTGCCGCCGTTGCAGTAGTTGCGTTGCTCCGACGAGGATTCGTCGCCCTCGTTCAGCCTCGGCGCCGCGCGATTGGACAGAGAATAAAGTGGGGAGAGAGAAACGAGCTGGAAATTTTCTGACAAAAGGAGCTGGTAATTTTCGGTAGGACAAAAATACCCTTCCTTTGTATTTTACCCTAGTCAACGAATGAATTCAAAAGTATACAGAATGGTGGGTTCCTATTGGTCCACCTATGTTGTTGTTACAATAACAACAAATATGGTGTTGTCACCATATCCGCTCCCATGAGGAGCTCTAATTTTCGTCTAAAGTCTCCACACTCCCCTCTCCAGCACTAACGACTTTATCCTTTTTGCTGTTGGGTTGAGCGGGTCACCCGTGCACCCGTCCACCACCCGACGGATTACTCCCAACACAAACCGTCACCCACCCAGAAACCCACCGACATGACAAAATTCGGATCAAATGTGGGTGGTTCGGCCCAAACCAGGATCCGCCCGCATGCCCATTGAATAGTGTAGACATGAATTAAATGGACCGATAATGCTCGTCGGCCCAACTCGTGTACAGCCCATTTAACTCAACAATCGAATTTAATCACTTTAATTATTTTTTTATAGATTTATTCACTTGATTTTGTTGGTAAAATAAAATGAACACGAACCGTTGACAAGTCAACAACACATACTAACACACGAAATTAAAATCAATTGATCTTGCGGCAGTCCGTTCTGATCTCGCCATTACTCCCGGTCAGCGGCCCCATATTCCCCATCTTGACCATCGACGCCGCGAAATCCGCCGCGAACCTCGCCGGATTCCCGCTGTACAGCCTCACCAGCGCGTCGCTGGCGGCGCTGCCTGTGCCGAACAACTCCTGATCGGAGTGCAGCAGCCCTCTGTTCCTGACCAGCGAGCCGAAGTACTGCGTATCGAATCCCGCCGGAGTTCCGTCCAACGGCTGCAGGTTGTTGTCGCCGCCGGTCAGCGGGCAGGCGCGCTGCAAAGAGGATGCCAAGTTGGTCTGGATGTTGGTGTCGTTGTAGATGCGGGCGCGGAAGGTGGTGCAGCGGGCGAGACCGATGGTGTGGCCGCCGGAGAGCGCCACGAGGTCGGTGAAGTCGAGGCCGTGGGTCTGGAAGTTGGCGAGGAGCTGCGAGAAGCTGAAGAACGGCGGCGGGAGGTTGTTGTTCGCGTCGTTGAGGCTGGCGGTTCTCGCGTCACGTCGGCCGACGAGGACTTGGTACGTGAACCTTGGACCTCCCAGCTGCACGTAATTAACCCGGCCAATTAATCAATCAAATATTCACTTAGTAAAAAAACATTTACCATCTAGGACCATCAATTTAAGTCATACTAAGTTATAGTTGATATAATTAGCTAAACAGGTCGGAGTGAGGATTTGACGATTGGATGTGAGAGTTATTTATTGTATTATCGCACAAGAAATCATGCACGATTGTTTCATACGATATTTATTTATAAGTATTTGTTAGTTTATACGTAATTTTCTAAACTCCTATACGATTTTGTATGTGATTTCAGAACTGAAGATCCACCTAGCTCCGCCCCTGAGCTAGGGTTGGTATTAAGGGATTTACTATTTAGAGTGGTCGAGAAATGCTTACGATAGAGACAGAATCGCGAGCAGCAACGGCTAGGATGTCAGCACAAGAGACGACGCTTCTCCTGCATATTCTGTCAACTTCCTTCTTGATTTTATCAACCACATCAAACCCTCTGATCGAGTTCAAATTCGGATTTGCAGTTTTCTCTCCAGTAAAAGTCGACGTGTCATCCAGAAGAACCGATCCATCGCACCCCTGCAATATCATCACAACCATTAGAAGCAAATTCTAATGAAAGACTCTCAAATTATGATTACCACGCATGCTTGCTTTGGTTGATCCTTGTAACTCTGAATAATTTGACAACGGTATGCAAATTTGTATCTGAACATGGACAAGGAGGAAACAGAGAGAGAAAATAATATTTAATCACTTTCTTACATTGACGAAGCAGTCATGGAAGTGCAAGCGAAGCAGTGACGCGCCCATGCGAGGCTCATCGTCGATTGCCTTCTTGACAACCCTTCTGATGGTGGGCAGCGCCTGAGGGCAAACTGAACGGTAGAAGTTTGGGCTGAGTTGCGCAACAACAGCTGGGAAAAGAAGCGCGGCTGCTGCCACAGTATACAACAACAAAGCTCGGGAAGCTGCTACAGCCATTGGTTAAATCGAAGCACAAAGACTCAAGCTGTATATCAATTGTTACAGAGATTGATGAATATTGGTGATAGAAGATAACTCGAGCAAGGTGGTGTATTTATATACAGTAGCTAGCTAGCTAGCTGCAGCAAAAGAAAACAAATTGCATTGCTTTCATGCATGATCGTGCCCATGCGTCATCAAAATTATTGGTGTTTAATATTACGGGGAGACTAATTCCTATTCCATGGCGGGTGAAGCAGATTGGACGGATTAACTAACGGATTATTTTAAGAGATATATAGTAATAGCATTGATCATGAAGGTCGTTGTCAATGAAGAATGAGGACTTAGCTAGTACTTAATAGTGAAACCGGTATTAGTTGTGAGAGAGTGCAGAGTTATTAGGATAATTGTTAAGTTATGGCTGGGTACCCTACATTTAGTCAAAGTAACTCAGAATTATCGGGATATAATTGAGTTATAGACCAAGTTCAATCATTTCTTCTTTATAATCAAACGTTGGTCATTACTCATTATTATCGTGATTAATTGTTGATACAAGGTGTAGGTCATAACGGGGCCTGCTCAATTAGTACGATATTGTTCGCTTTGGGTCAAGCCCGCACGAATCTTTGATATGCTTCCCAGATGCGGAACTCTCTTTGATCCGCCAAGCCCAAACGTGGATCTCTCCTGGATCCACCAAACCAGATGCGAATCTCAAATCCCGAGGTCACCGAATGAGGGTCCACCGAACTGACGTCCGCCGCCTCGAACCGAACCTGGCTCTGATACCACTTGTCATAACGGGGCCTGCTCAATTAGTACGATATTGTCCGCTTTGGGCCAAGCCCGCACGGTTTTACTCTTGGGTGTCCTCCCCAAAAGGCCTCATACTAATTGGGCTAGGTGGACACTAATATACAAGGGTTACTTCCCTTGTATTACCGATGTGGTACTTGGATTGTCCCATAACAGTGTACAATATATAGACATATCATTCATATTTAAGTGATATTCTTCTGTATATATATTTTTACTGATTAAGATTCAAACTCTAAATCATCCCAACCAAAAATAGTTGAGGTTTAACTTTGGAGCAGAGCCCGCATAAATCGCTATCACCATATCGACTTGAATCTTTTTTTTTTTTTTGTTAAGGATGATATATATTAAAAATAATCAGAAAGAGATTACAAGATCCAACAGGGCAACGCAAGCCAAGGGACAAGAAAAAACAACAGCAAGGGAAGAACAAATGAAAAAGGCAGGGAAAACACCATAAACAGAAGCGAAGAGGGGCAAGAAGGCCCCGAAGAGAAAAGGAAAAGACAGCAAAGGACTACTACTTCAGATGTCACTGGAGAGCTCGCCTAATCCTGGGAAGCAATCTGTTCTTGAGAGTCAACACCCAAGCCTCGGCCACATGCTTGTCGACTTTTCCTGCCGTGGACACCCAGCTTGCAATAAGGCACCCAATTCGGAAAGATGCGGCGAGAGCGGAAGCAGCTTCCCCCTTGAAGACTCTGGAATTTCTTTCCAGCCATACTATCCAACAAAACGCGTGTAAGAAGACCTTAGTACACCACTGCCAAGGGCTGGATGGCTTATGACAATACCACCGCATGATCCTTGTTGAGATATCGTCGTTATCAATGATACTGCTTTCAATCCTGACGAAAGAGCGCATCCTCCACCAAATTTCCTTTGAGAAACTGCAATGAACGAACAAATGGTTTGGGTTCTCCTCCTCCTTTCCACAAAGGGCGCATCTGCTTGGTAGCTGGAATCCTCGCTTCTTGAGGTTGTCATGGGTGAGAAGTCTTTTGTGGAACACGATCCATAGGAAGATGCAGATTTTGCTTGGGATTATGCTCTGCCACACGACCTTGACGGGGAAATCGGGGACTCCGATTTGTCTATCTGTCATCAAGTGATTGTACGCCGACTTCACGCTAAAGCCTGCAGACGCGTCAGGCAGCCAAGTCACCCTCTCAGGACCTGCAGTAAAACTAGAAGAAGGGATATTTTCAAGTAAATTCATTAAGCACTCTCTCTCCCTCTCTGCCCCCCCCCCCCCCACGAAGAGAAAATTTAAGAGGAATTTCCCACAATAGATTTCCACCCACGATGGACAGGTGATCAGCGACACGGGAACTCGGGTGGACAGCAGCAGCCATCACTCTCGGAAATTTCTCCGCCAAGCAAGAACCTTCGACCCAATGATCATGCCAAAAGGAAGTCCAACAACCACTACCTTGTTCAATGCGCGCCATTCTCCAAAAAGTATGCTTCAATTTCATGATCTGCGACCACGGACTACAACCGACACTTCCGGTACAATCCCCCGACGACCATTCAGACGAGGCACTAGGGAACTTTAAACAAATGAGCTCTCTCCACCATGATTCCCTTTCAGTAGAAAATCTCCATAACCATTTCATGAGGAGAGACTGGTTTTGTGTTTCTAAGCTACGGATGCCTAGTCCGCCTTTCTGCTTCGGAATCTTGCACAGGTCCCATGATATTAGATGAAACTTTTCCTTGCCCATCGAGAATCTTACCTAATAGGGTATCATTGTCCAACCTGAACCCGCTGATCATACAAGAAAATTTCATTACCATTAAAATAACGAGAGCTAATTAGAATAGTGCAATGGATACCAACTGTCCATCTCAATTCGAACTTGTCATCCTACCGTTGAATCCTATATGTATCCATGAATATTGATTACCAAATCCTGTCACCCATGAATAACAAACTAACCAACTCTATAGGTAATCATTATGATATTATGTGTCGGACTTTTTCATTGCTCGTCGATGTCATCGTTATAGGAGTATGGATTATAGTTTAAAGAAAAACCAAATTATGTACGTTGACCAAACTTGTGGAGTAAATCCTTCTGACCTGCTAATTTTCCACATACGAACATGTCGGCAATATTATTTAAGTACTTTTGAGTATGAGATCATGATCAGATTCATCCAAACCGCAGCCTAGCTAACTTGATGTTTAAAAAATTCGACATCCTCCAATAAGATTGGAGCTAGCCGACTGGCATATATGCCCCCCTAAGAATAAGTATAGAGGAACGATATGTTGATAGAGTCAAATCATAAAGTTTGGAGAAGTGTGGCTGTCCCCAAGTCAACACACGCCATTGTTAGCTAGGCTCCCTTTTCTGTGACCCAAATGTGACACCATTAGCAACAAGTTTGATATGGGGAAACCCTAGATGTTGATTCTCATTTCTGTGAAGCCTTATATAGGTTGTACAAGGCAAGAAGACAACCCAGCTAACACATTCTTGTCAGTTAGCTTGGATTGGAAACAATCTCCAACTTGAGACAATAGAAAACGAAGAAAGCAAATAAACCAAACGACATCGTTGGCAACATAAGTGTGACTATTAGAACGACAATGCTTTGCCGTGGTGGGAAAACTGGGAGAAAACGCTACCACATTGACCTTCTTCTTTGCTGAAAGAAAATGACCATTGGAATTGAATTTTCAAGATTCAATTCCTATTACCCCCCGCAAGCCAATGGGCAGAGATTTTGCACCCCGAGTTTGGAGACGAGATGGAGAAATGGTGCTGGAGATAGGGGTTTGGTGAAGAGATCCGCGAGTTGGTGAGCCGATGAGACATGAAGAAATTTGAGAAACTTACGCTGCATCTTTTCACGAACAAGATGGCAATCAAGTTCGATATGTTTCGTTCGTTCTTGGAACGTCGGATTCTCGGCAATATATATGGCACTTTAATTATCACAGTAGATGTTGGTTGGCTGAGGATGATCAACCTTGAAGTCACGAAGCAGATAGAGAAGCCACTGAAGCTCACAGGCAGAGAAGGCAAGTGCTCTCTGTACTCTGCCTCACAGGAGGATCGGGAAACAGTTTGCTACTTCTTACTTTTCTAAGAAATTAAGGAATTGCCCAGGTAAACACAATAACCTGTAATAGATCTTCGAGTATCCACACAGGCTGCCCAATCAGAGTCTGAGAATGCCTTGAGCTGGAACTGTCCTTGAGAAGAGAAGAAAGTGCTAGTGGCAAGGGCAGATTTCAAGTATCTGAGAATTCTGAGAACTGCTTTGTAGTGTGTGATGCTTGGATTTCCCAAAAATTGACTTACTTGTCGTGTAGCGAAGCTGATATCTGGTCTTGTTGTAGTAAGGTAGATCAATTTTCCAACAAGTGTCCTGTAAAGTTCAGGATCTGCAGAGGGAATGTCACACTCTTTAGTAAGATGAGTTTTGTAATCCATGGGGGTCGAGACAGGTCTTGAGTCTAATAAATTTGCTTCCTCAGTGATTTCCAAAGCATACTTTCATTGTGATAGATGAATGCCCTGACTGTTTCTTGCAACTTCCATGCCAAAAAAGAAACTTAAAGTGTCTGGATCTTTAATTTTGAATTCAGAATGGAGAACGGCCTTTAGTTCTTCAATAGCTGATAGATCATTCCCACCCACAACCAAATCATCAACATATATCAGTATGCAAGTATAACTTGAATCAGTGGCTTTATAAAACAAGGAATGATCTGCTTGACTTTGAACATAACCAACTTATTGAAGTTTGTCTATGAGTTTTGAAAACCACTATCGAGATGCTTGTTTAAGGCCATATAGGGACTTCTTGAGTCAGCAAACAGGGTTGATGAAGCCTGGTGGAGGGTCATAACCCTTTGGCAATGTTATATACACTTCCTCTTGGAGATCACCATGGAGGAAGGCATTATTAACATCCAATTGATGGATGTGCCAGTTCCTTAGAGCAGCAATAGCTAGGAAAGTCCTGATAGTGGTCATCTTGATGACTGGGGCAAAAGTATCATGGTAATCTACCCCTTCCTGTTGTGTATTGCCTTTGTCAACAAATCTGGCCTTAAACCTCTCTGAAGAACCATCCTGATGCACTTTAATTCGATAAACCCACTTGTTATCAATTGGATTTTTACATGGATTAAGACGCTTCTTTGTAGCTATTTGATTCTTGATAGGAGGAAA